TCTTAAGATGAGGTCTTTGCTTCTTTTCAGAAATACACATTTAACATAAACTTCCCTGTTGGCACTACTTTAGTTGTGCTCTATGTATTTTGGTATGGTGTATTTTCATTGAAGTCGAGTTTTTTTTTATACTTCACTTGACATTTCCTCTTTGACCCATTTGGATCATTTTAAAGTACACTGTGTTGTTTACAAGATTTAGAAGTTTTTCTTACTGTCTTTATTTTTGCTTCTAATTCTAGTCCATTCTATTGAGAAAATATAGTGTGACTTTGATTCTTTCATAATTTTGAGGTTTTACTTATGGCCTTATAGGTTATACTTAAAGGATAATGTTTTATCTTGGTAAGTACTGATCTTCACTTAAAAAAAAAAAAATCAAACAAGACCCCCCCCAACAAAGTGTATATTTTACTCTTGATATATAGAGCATTCTTAAAATATCAGTCAGTTCTGTTGGTTGGTGATATTAGGTTCTTATATACATTTTGTGGTTTTCTTTCCCCTTCAGTTCTGTTAATTTTGTTTGAAATATTTTGCATCTCTGTTGCATAGATTTAGCATTGTTGTATTGAGCCTTTTATTATTGTATAATTTCTCTTTCTAACTTTAGTAATTTTATTTACCAAGAACTCTCTTATTAATGCAATTCTTGTTTTCTTTTATTAGTGTGTGTGTATCTTTTTCTATCCTTTTAATTTCATCCTACTTAATTATTGTATTTGAAGTGAGTTTCTTATAGCTAGTATATAGTTGATTCACATTTTAACTATCAATCTTTTTTTTAATTGGTGTATTTAGGCCTTTTGTGTTAAATGTAATTATGATTTCTTTTTGTATTCTGCTTATTCTGTTTTTCAGTTTTGTTTTGTTTTTCTTACCTTCTTGTGAATAATTAAACATTGTTTAGAAATCCATTTCCATTTAGCTCTGGCAGTTTTGGTCATATATGTTTGCATAGCATTTTTGTGGTTTTCCTACATATTATATTGTATAATACCTCAGTATATCAATGTCACCATTTTTACACCTTGATGAAAGTATAGAAACTTTACCTCTATAGGTGCTGGAACCATTGAGCTAAATCCTTGGTCTTTATTATTTTTTTCTCCATCTGAAACTATTTTGCTTTCCCTTTTTTACTAAATAATATATTTACTGATGTAAGATTCTAGGTTACCAGTTTTCTTTCTTTCAGTTCTTCAAAACTCTTGTGTAACATACTTCTACTTTTATGATTTTGTTTGTTTGTTTATTTTGGTACCAGGTATCGAACTTAGGACCTTGCACTTATGAGGCAGGCATGGTGCTACTGAACTACACCCCTGGCTTACCTTTTATAATTTCTAGTGGGCAGTCAACTGCCATTTTAATGTTTTTTTTCCCCTTTTGGAGTAAGGTGTTTTCAGTGGCTACTTCCAAAGTTTGGTGGTGTTGTTGTTGTTAGGGTTTTTAAAATTTTTGGTCTTTAATTTTCAGAAGTTACAGATTTCATTTAATTCTATTTGCCTTTTACTCAGCTTCTTGAATGTGGATTTTATGGTTATTGCTATGTGGGAATTTTTTTTCTTATAATTTCCTAAAGTACTTTTTCATCTCTACCCTCTTTCTTTTCTCCTTAGATACTCCAATGAGTGTTAGACCTTTTGTTATGTTCCCATAGTACCTTGAAGCTCTGATCTTTTTTTTTTAAGTCTTTTTTCTCTTTATTGTTCAGATTGGGTTATTTGATTGTTCTGTCTTCTGAGTTATTCTTTCTTCTCTCTCCTTTCTTTTGCCAGTGAGTCCATCCGTTGGGTTCTTTATTTTGATTACTGTATTTGTCAGTTGTAAAAGCTTTGCCTGAGATTTTCTGTTTGTTAGTTGAGGCTTTTTTTTTTTTTTTAACTTGTCTCAGCATGTTCATAACTGCATATTGAATTACTCTTTTATCGTGGCTGCTTTAAAATCTTTGTTGGATAATGATAACATTGTTGAATTCTCAATGCTAGCCTGTATTGTATTCTTTTCATTTCATTTGAGATCTTTTTGGTGGTTTTTAATGGAGACATGGACATCTTATATATAATGAGCCTTTACATTTAAAATATTTTGCTCTGCCCCTGTAGACTGTGCAACCATTGTGGAAATCAGTATGGAGATACCTCAAAAAAACTAGGATTAGAGGTCCCATTTGACCCAGATACTCCCCTGCTGAATATCTTCCCAAAGAATTAAAAGAATCATCCCACAGTGATATATGTGCACCCATTTACATAGCGGCACAGTTTATAGTAGCTAAAACTTGGAAACAGACCAATTGCCCATCAACTGGGGACTGGATAAAGATGACGTGTTTTTTGTTTTGTTTTGTTTTGTTTTAGTGGAGTACTACTCAGCCATAAAGAATGAGAAATTAGAGACATTTATAGCTAAATGGATGCACATTGAGGCCATACTCTTAGGACCCATGTGTAAATACCAAATAGTTTATCTGATGTGAGAAACTGAAAGTGTAAATAAGGATCAAAATATATAATAGATAATGAGAAATGGGAAGAAAAGGTCCAAAGGGGCAGGGAGAGTGGGAAAGGTAGGAAAAAAGAATAAATACGACATAAGCAAAAAATGGAAACAAAGTTCTTGTAACTGGGGAGGGGTGGAGGGGTGGATTGGAGAGCAGGGGAATGGGGAAGAAAAATAAGAACCAAGATCTATCATGTAAAGCTACAAATTCCCAATGATGAATGCCATCATGTTGTATACCTAAAATATACCAATAAACTTAATGAAAAAAATTATTTTGTTCTGACAAGAAAAGTGAAAAAACATCATTTTATTACTGTCAGGTAGGTTAATGAGACCATGGTTTGTGTTACTACCCAGGGTGGGGGACTTCTCATTCCTCCTGGATCTGCGTAAAATGTCTAGCTCCCTAGATAGCCTTCACTAATACCTCCTGTCTGGGAAGGATAGCAGTGTCTTATTACTGCTTCCCAATTGGCTTCTATTTGTGTGACTGAAGAAAAGTTATGCCACTTATCTGGATTTTCCTTGATATTATGCCAATAGATAAAGGAGGGTTGCTTCATTACTTATCTATGGAAGCAGAAGTCCAGACTCTCCATGTAGTCTCCATTGATGTCAGAATGTGGGGAAGGGTATGAAGGGAACATTGCCATCCTTCTGGAGTAGAGGCCTTGATGTCCTCTTTATGGTTCTCTGGTGTCTCCGTGGCTGAGATGGTTAGGGTTGAACATGGAGCCTCATGGTACATTCATGATGTAGAAGTCTGGGGTTCCCGCTATCCTTTGCTGAAGTGGGTAAAGGTAGGATCACAGTATTTTCTGAGTGTATATTTTTTAAAGGTGTTCTGTTTTGCTAGGCTGCACTTTTTGTGGTCATTAGCTTTTGTTGGTTCTGTTTTGCAGTGCCCCTGCCAGTATTTCCTGGTTGTCCTTTAGTTTCTAGTGTGTGTGAGGCAAAAAGAAAGGCCAGGGGAGCTTACCACAGTGTTGTTTCTAGAGCCCTGCAGTTCACAGTCAGTTTCCTCATCTTTCTAAGCTTCCTTATTTTTGCTTTATATGTAACGTTCAAGACTTTCAGTACTTAGTGAGAATAGGGAAAATTATACCTACTCCATTTTCTTAGCCATGTATATTTAAAATAAGTATTTACTGTCCTGTAATAAAAGTAATCTTTCGGGTTGGACATTTAGCTCAGTGACACTGCGCCTGCCTCACGAGCCAAGGTCCTGAATTCTATCCCTGGTACCAAAAACAGAACAAAACTAGAGTAATCTTTCTTTGAGAATAGTTATGTAAACAGCCTTTAAAGATGTAAATCGTGATGTCATGACTATCTTAACAAGGGTTTCTGATTTTATTTTTCTTTTTTTGCAGTGCTAGGGATTACTCAGTGCCTTGTGCGTGTTGGGCAAAGTCTTTACTACTGAACCATATACCATTCCATGGTTGTGAACTTTAAAGTACATTCAAAGACCTTGAAAGGATTTTTTATCCCTTTCAGTATTGGGGGTGGAAACTGGGACTTGTGCATTCTAGGCAACTGCTCTACCACTGAACCACACTTCTGCTTTGTGGGGCTCATAGGCACTAACTAGTGACCCTGCTCCAAAGAAGCATGGAAAACCCATACCAGTCCCACATGGGAACCTTGCTGTGGCTCTGGGGACAATACTGGTAATCACAGATTCAGCTGGATTGATGACAGCTTATTAATTTCTAGTGATGTTAATACATATGCAGGTGCTTTAAATGAGACTAAAATTTGCATTAAGTCAACTGGACATTTGATCTAAACTTTTTAAAGGTATGTTGTATGATTTTTAATGAAATATTCCATTTTCTAACACTATTATATATGGCGTTTGAAAGGCAAAAGAGTAGAGGGAAATATGGATACAGAAGGAAATGCTGCTTATTTTATTACAAAAAGAAGAATATAGCAAAAAATGAGAGGCAAAGTGATCAGGTATTTTATGAGCATAAAACAATGCCTATTTTATTGGGTCCTAAGAATATTTAAGTGGATACATTAAGCCAGAGTCTGTAACAAGTGTATGACATGCAAAATCATTTTTAAAGCTCAGAATTGACATCAGAAAAGCTCTGTTACCTTGATCTGAACTAATGATGCCCAACCTGGTCATTACTGCACATATCATCATAATACACATTCCTGTAAAGTTCATTTTTTTTCTTGACTTAGTGAATAGAAATGAAACTAGAATGAAAACTGCTCCCATCAGTAGTATGACTGATAACCTAGATCAAGGTGAACCTAGAAATATTTTTCCCAGATGATCACTAACATGTTAAAAGAAAAATTAAAATAGTGAAATGTCAGAATGCTATCTCTTAAACATTGTTCTTTTATGGAAGTTATTATAAGTGTTAATAAAGATCTTGCTTGTGAATATTCATCAGATAATGATTCTTATTTTGTAGCTAGACATTTCAGAGTAATAAATTATTTCCTTTCCCTCTCCCCTCTTTTAGCTCTGTTGGCTTAGCAAAAGCAGCTCTAGAGGCAATTAATGGATTTAACCTTTTTGGCAACCAGGTAAAAAAAAAAAAAAAGAAGTCTTTGATTATTTGAATTGCATGTTTAATTAATTTTGGTATTCATTAGCAAAGTCATTTCCTTATAATCATTAAATGTCTGAAATATAAGTAGCAGTCTATGCATGGACAGCTTTTCCTTTGAAAATAATCTGCCAGTTAAATTTTAATTTTTTGCTAAAAACATTAGTTGTTTTAATTGTCTCTTTATAAATAATTCTAATGTTTTGGTTTAATAACTTCCTCAAGTTTCATACCTATTTCTTAGGGGCTTCATTCTTTTTTAATATTCTTGGCATTATATATTCCATGTCAGTTTTCATATTGGTTTCAATTTAGTATATGTAATGAAGAGGGGAGTTTGTATAATGTATGGAGTCAGATAATAGGAAATTTTGATCCTAATTTTACCCTTTACTATGTGTGATTATTTGTCCTGCAATCTCATTTATCTGGGGATAAAAGGAACAGCCTAAGAGTCACCTTAAATTTTAATAAAATTGTTAACCAGTTTTTACATGAGAAGAGACTAATAAACTGCCATGGATTGAGTTGTCAATAGAAGGAAATAAAATATAGGAATAATGGTTCCTATTCTGATTTAAGAAGTAGGCGAATGTTTTTAGCAGTCCCCAAATGATAAGGCAATATAAGATTTCTAACTCATATTATAATCAAACTTAAGCTATTAAAATACTAACTTTATGAAAATACATTTTAGGAAGTTACACAGATGTGTGGCAATTATAATACTGTGTATCTGGAATCTGGAATTTAAGAAAGTTTCATGACTTCCTCTCTTCTCCTCCCTACATATATAATCTCATCTCACCCCAGCTTCCTCTGGAGGGTGGGTTCTAGTTATACCTAGGATATGAGGAATGGCTACAGACAGGATTGGGAGGAGAATAATACCTCTTCTGGGTGCACTAGAATTATCCCTGGAGCATCCACTTCCTATACTACTGGATGGGTGGATGGATGGATGGATGGATGGATGGATGGATGGGGATGGATGGATGGATGCATGGGTCAATAGGTAGGTAGATAGCGAATTAAAGAATGCATTATATTATTAGTCAGGACAGGATCACTATCTGTTCTGTATCAGTCTCAGCTTCCTCATCTAAAAAGGTAGAGATAATGATAGTAGGATCTAACTCAAAAGTTTTTCAAGCAAATAGAGTGTGCCAAAAATTGCATACATACTTCAGCAGTTTACCATACTAATAAATGTCTGAAAGCTGATGGCTATCACTTTGAGCACCTCTTGTAATTGCAAAGGCCAAAGATAACTTTTATTATTTAGTATTAAACTGTGTATTAGACAAGTTTTTCTTTTCCTGATGTATACATTTTTATTCTTTTATTGAGTTTATTGGTACATTTTAAGTGTACAGTACAATTGCATTCATTATTGGGATCTTGTACCTTTACATGACAGGTCTTGGTTCTCATTTTTTCCCCTTGTCCCTGCCCCTCCTCCCCTCCCCATTTACAAATACTTTATTTCCATTTTTTTGTTTTGTCATATTTTTTTCTTTTCCCTTATTACCTTTCCCATACCCTTCCCATTTTCCCTACACCTTTAGCCCCTTACCTTCTATTTCACATGGTCAGTTATCTCATTAGGATCTTATGTACTATTATAGTTTTTCACACCAGAGAAACTCTTTGGTATTTACACATATGTGACTTATTTATTTCACTTAGCAGTATATCCTTAATTCTGATGTATACATTTTTTGTGGATGCTGTATAATATGGTAGAAGCTTGGTAAAGATTAAACCCTCAGTAAATACGATCTCTTGTTACTATTATTAATGAAGTATAAGTAATACTAAAGTGGGGGAGTGAAGAGATTGAACTGAAAGTCCTCTAGAGAGTATCTCAAAGACACTGAAGAGCCATGAATTATGTACTTCAGAAGTGGTGCAGTAGTAGTCTGGAGAAATACAAATCCCGTGAGGATGCCTTGTGTGGTACACTAACTAGAGAACAGAATGAAGTTAAGTGTCTCTAAGTTGACTGTGAACAGTAGTGTCCAGCTCTTATTTTGCAGTCATGCCATTTCCTTTGACATCACTGAACCTTAGTACATGTTACTGTCATGCCTTTAGGTACCTCCTACCTCCATACCCACCTACATACATACAATTACCTTTCCTCACTCTGCCTAGCCATCAAGGCGCTGATTTTCCCAGGAGGCTGTTATAGGTTGCTTAGCTATAATTCTAAAACAGCTGAATTTGTTTGTTAGGGCTCTTCTATTCCTCAGCCCGTTTTTCAGTCATGTGTGCACATTAAAATCACTTGAAGAACTTAAAAAACAATACTGATGTCTGAGCTTCTCCCCCAGGAATTCTGATGTAACTAGTGTAGGAAGAAGCCTTAGCTTTGAGAGTTTTTAAAAAATTGTTCTGGAATTCTAAATTACAGCCAAGGATGAGAACAGCTATTCTAAGCAGAGTTAATTTTTGCCTTGTTTATGTTATATCTGTTTCCAATATAGCTATGCATCAAATGTTTGCTAAATGAACACTATTTGATTATTTCAGATAGGAATATAAGTAAATAATGTCTTATTCCTTAGCCACACAAATACTACATTTGCAAGTAGAGCCTCTTCATCTTCCATTGTCAGTCACAGCATGGTATCAGTGTCCTAGTTTTACAAGGTCTCTTTTGTCCTGATGAGGAATATTGCAGAAATCTGATTTTTTTTTTTTTTTCTTTTTGGTGGTGCTGGGCATTAAACCCGGGAACCTTACCGGGGATTTAGCTCAATGGTTCTGGTGCCTGCCATGCAAGGTCCTGAGTTCGATCCCCAGTAAAAAAACACACAAAAACCCAGGACCCTTGTGTAGTTGACATATGTTGTACAATTGAGCTATACCTCCAGTCCCAGAAACCCAACTTTGAAAATCTTAATATCCCCACCTCTACACTAGTTCAAATGATAATGTGCCTGCTAAACAGTGGCACATTTTACAGTGCGTGTGATCATCTGAGTGTTTAATAATTTTGTTACCCTATATCTTTAAAGAGGTATGATCTTACTAGAAGTCAGTGATAGGGAGAAGAACTGCCATAAAGAAATTCTTTTTATTCAAGTGAAAACCTAAAATAACCCTGAGATTTCATTTATTTCAATGACTATACAGTGTTTTGGAAGATCTGATCATGTATCTCATGTATCTTTAAGTGCATTAAGTTAGCGCCTTCAAAAAGTATGTCTCCTAATCTGGATAAAGAAGATATGTTGTTTTTTTGTTTGTTTTTGTTTTTTAATAAAATGGAGTTCTCAGCCATAAAGAATGAGAAGCTAGAGACATTTATAGTTAAATGGATGCACATTGAGACCACACTCGTAAGTGAAATAAATAGGACACACACGTAAATACCAAATAGTTTCTCTGGTATGAGAAAGTGAAAATATAAATAAGGATCAAAATGTATAATAGATAACATGAAAGAGGAAGAAAAGGTCCAAGGGGAAGGGAAAGGTATATGAGATGAGGAAACAAATGGAAACGAAGTCTTTGAAAACAGTGAGGGGTTGAAAGGAGGGCAGGGCAATGGGGAAAAAATAAGAACCAAGATATGTCATGTAAAGGTGCAAATTCGCAAGGATGAATGTCATCATATTGTATACCTAAAATATACCAATAAACTTAAAAAAAAAAAAGAATACATCTCCTGTTGATGTCAACTCAAGAGTCATGGATATTTGGAGGTAGAAAAGCCCCCCTCAAACTGAATGGTCATCGTGTGAAGTAGCTTTTCTCAGACCATAAGCAGGATGAAGAATTAAACAGAAGCCACTCAGTAAATAATCTAGAAAATCAGCTATTGGTATGGGACCTCTCAGATCTTGGATGTGTCCTTCCTTTATCATTTCAAGCTGTGCATTTTCTTTGAAAACCCATGCTGTTCTCTGGATAATAAATATTTAAGTTCTGAAAGTGTTAGTCATTTTACAAATATTATGAAAATATTTCCTTTTGCCTTTTGTATTTCAGTATATTAGATAAAACAAATGTTAATTCTATTGTTTACAGGCAGTTGGTGGGTGGGAAAAGCATTTAGCTTTGGTTATGATTATGTGTGCCTATATTTTCTCTTTTTCCCAGTAGTCATTTTCCTTATTATTCAAGAGAAACATCATTTAAATCTCTGCTCTGGAACTATTTTCAGAATTTTTTTTCTTAGGGACACTTAAAAATATAGTGTGATAAAATGACCTAATTTCTTTAATGATTGGTTGATAATAAAGGTTAATTTGGGACAGTGTCATATTTAGAAGCATACTCATGAGTCCTCCATAAAGGAATCATATGTTTCATTAGGATCTCAAACACATTTTACATATAGTGATAAATATATTTGAATATTGCTTAAGTAATACTTGATAATACTTAAATTGGGATTCCCAGTATAAAATGTCATGGACATAATAAGAAACAATTTGTGATTCCTCCATTTGAGTCTAGCTCTGCTCTTCTCAGACTCTGAGAATTAATGCTGAGGTGCAGCTTACTCCCATTTTAGCATATATAGAGGAGAAAAGCCTTGAATTGTAAGAGGAGCTACTGGAAACAACTTCAGGGGTGGGAAGCAAAAAGCAAAGTTGTCTGTTTTCACACCCATTGTTGCTACAACCGTGATATAAGGTAGAGTTTCCATCAGTAAATATCCTTTCTGGAAGAGCATTTTTTTCCAGGCTGTGCTGCAGAACTAAAAAGCAGCCTAAAACTGCATAGGAAGAAAAATACACAGATGGTTTCCTGGTCTGATTTGGCTTCCAGAATGAGACACACTGACTTTTTATTTTATTTTTTCTAGGTGAGGGCAGAAAGTCTGTTAGTTCATACTCAGACAAGTGATTAAAACAGAAAAGAGAGGCTCACACAATCCTTCAAATAATTTTCACTTTTAAATGAAATCATTGATACTAGCAGTGCCACATGGTCACAGATGGTACCACTGGCCCTAGGAACCATCTCAAAAGTGTCCGTTCTGGTCATGAAAATTGAGGAGAGAGGTGGAAGTGTGAGTATGGTCCTTTGCTACCATTGAAACTCATGTCCCTGTGACTGTGGTCAAGTAGAATTATCTGGTATGTTTACTATAACAAAAACAATTTTAAAAACTCCTTTTGGAAAGTAGTTTGAGCTGTTACTTATAAAATAACCTCTTTTGGTTGAGTCAGGAGATTAGGGCAGGAAATGAAAGTGAAGATTAAATATCCAAATTTAATCAGATATTCTAAAGTTATGTATACCAATTCTTGCTTTTGATTGGTGACAAGATACTAACAAATAAGCTGAGACCAGAGTCAAAAAGGTATTGACTAGAGAGATTGCTCATATTATGCAAGGTGCTCAAAGTGATGCAGATATCTAGCTTCCTTTGAAATTTGAAGGCTTAAAATTAATGTGTCTGATGATTTAAAGTAGACAATAATTAATTCCATGTGTGTATTCTCCTTGATGATTAAACACTTGCTTTTGAATGGGAAATAGCTGCCCATGACCTTGAGGGTAATTTTGCCCTCTTGGAAATCTGGACCAGAATGCCTAAAGCATGACACTGTATGATTTTTGAGAGAGGACAGCCCAACAATGTAGGAAACTAACCTTCAATCTCACTATTATAGTAATATTATGAGACTATTTTTCCATTTGGACATATTTCTTTGAGCTTAAGAGACCTTAATAAATACTTGATGAATTTAGATTATTTTTGGCCAGACAAAAGAAGTTGGCTGTTTACATTATCAAATAATGGAGAGAATTTCCAAATTTGTCATTTTACTTATTTATAAATTTTCCTATTTAGATTGTATCTTTAAAAGATTCAGTTTCAGGTAATTTGGCTTAATAAATAATAAAAACTTGCAACAAGATAAATTTCAACTCCTATTTTTTGAGTATTTACAGGCTCCTAGCATATTACACCACTTATTTTCTGAGTGTTTTGTTGTAACTACTCTATTCGCTTTTATTTCTCCAAAAATTCAGATCTTAGCTTTGGTCCTCACCTTCTCTGCTTCCCTAGAGACACATGATAGTTATTATTCTTGTATATAAGATACTTGTGTGGTACTTAGTTGCACATTGCCATGTGCGTGCCATGTGTATTTTTCTTTAGTAATTGTCTGGGACTGTATATTACCTGAGTAACTTCCTTGAGAACACAGTTCAAGCTTTGTTTAACACAAAGCAGAGTGCACAGTACTTTAGCAGCTACTTGGTAGCAGTGTGTTGAATTAATAAAGGTAGAAGATTGGGACTCTCAATAAGAAGGGCAGTGAAGCATCAATCTAGTTGTTGAGAACCTCCCCCATTCCCTCTTCATGTATTAATTTACTTGCCAGAGTTAAAAATGTTTTTTATAATGTTCCAAACAAGAAGTCACTCTGTAAGCTAGTACTCATGTATAAAAGAAAGTTAACAGGAAATATTTACAGCTAGTGAGTCAAATATTTGGGTCTAGAATTTGGTGCTATTAGATTTCAAGTTTCAGTCTAGGTGATTAATACGAAGTATGACAGTTTCAGGGTGAAGCTGATGAGAATTGGGGTGAGGTTTAAAAGTGGTATTGAAGCAATATGAAATGTATGATAGTTACGTTTCTCCACACCTGTTTTTGAGTATTCTCTTGTAGTGGAAGCAGTCTTCGTATTCCTATTTCATTTTGTCTTTTCAAATATTTAGCTGTTCAGTAAAAGAAAGTCATTTTTACTTACAACTCTGCTATTGAATATGAAAGGCACTAATGGGTAAAAAGTAAAAATATTTTAATTATTTTAATGTCTTAGCAGACCAATTGATATTTTCTGTTATATGTGTAGTGTCTTGTTTTATTGTGTTTGTACTGGATATTGAATCCAGGCCCTTCACACTGAGCTACATTCCCAGCCCTTTTTTATTTTTCATTTTGAGATAGGATTTCACTAAATTGCCCAGGCTGGGCTCTAACTTTCATCTTCCTGACTCAGCGTCCTGGATTACAGACATGTGTCACCGTACTTGCCTATCATTCTATTTCAGGGTTTCTGTTATTTGAAATATTTTTTTCTTTTGGCATGATAATTGTATAACCTAGTGGTTAAACCATGAGCATTTGTGTCAAGCTTGATTTTAAACTCTTGTTCTGTTGCATTAAGGTTTGGTGTCCTTTTTGGTAAAATGGAGATGAAAATGCCTACATGTGGGGATTCAATTAGATAAGCCACGTGAAATACAGCGTTCAGTGCCTCACATATAGTGTACAATGGCTAGGGTTGTTTACATTATTGTTGAAATTCTCTTCATATTTTATTCTGTAATTCTAGATTATATTTAAATTTGTTTAGTTTGATCATATAATCAATATTCTTTGTGAGAATGTACAACTCAAATTTATGAATCCAAATATCTTTTCCTTTATTCCTTTTTGTATTAAATTACCTGGATTTGTATTTTCATTAAAATAAATGTAATTATCTTATAAAATTTATAAGAAAATCAAATGAAAAATGTAAAAGTAACCTTGTAATAATTACATGATTAATATAATTATTGCAAGAAATTTGAGAAATATGGAGAACGTTAAAGAAATTTAAGATCTCAATAATGCCATACTCAAATGCAGTCAGTGCTATATTTTTTGTGAAATTTCACACAGTAAAAATGCCAGATGGTTTACAAGTCCTTGAAATGTGTTTCTGTTTCTCATTGCAGGGCTGTTCGTGGTCAGTTATATTTGTGGATCTTGATGCTCATAATCGCAACCGACAGACTTTGTGCTCACTGTTACCTCGAGAATCAAGATCTCACGTGAGATGTTTTCACAATCAATTCCAATGAACTGTCACTTACAGTTTTATATAGTTTCATATTAATTTCCCAAGAAAGCACTCTAAAATGTTAGGAGTCATTCATAAACATTAGAAGACAGATCCACTCCTCTTCCTGTGTCCTCTAGAAATGCTAGAAAGTGAAACTTGTGGGTACATCTGTGTGGTCCTTTGAGTCTTTTGTAAGACAGTAGATAAATTGACATTATTTTTCTTTTTGGAAAGAAGCAACATTATGCCAAATGAATCATTTTTGTCATGGAATGTTAGAAAACCGCATTTCATCATTTACACAGAATTGTTTTTGAATAAAATTTCCTCCTCCTTCTTTTCTGTCATTAGACTCATGTTTTTTTCTTGTGCTGATGAACTTGTATGCTTATTGTATCTCTCTGCACACTTTTCTAGGAATTATTTGTGGTTCTATTCTTTAAAAAATACCAAAAACAGAGTAACATTACCTTTTTTTTTGTTTGTATTTTTGAGACAGGGTCTCACTATGTAGTTGAGTTGAGTATGACCTGGAACTCACTATGTAGCCCAGGCTGGTCTCGAACTCACAGTGATCTTCCTGCCTTAGCCTCCTGAGTGCTAGGATTACTGGCGTGCACCACCTCGCCTGGCCCTAATATAACCTTTTAAAAATAACTTTTTTAAAAAATTAAATTTAGTGGTACATTCTAGGTAGACAGTATAGTTACATTTATTACCGGGATCTTATACCTTTACAGGACAGGTCTTGGTTCTCATTTTTCCCTTTTTCCCCACCCTCCCTTCACCCCTCTTCCCCTCCCCACCTACAAAGACTTTAATTCCATTTTTACATTTTCTCATATTTTTTCCCTTTCCCTTATTCCCTTTCCCCTACCCTTCTCACTGTCCCTATATCTTTAGTCCTTTTCTTCCTGTTTCACATTGCTAATTAACCTGTTAGGATCTTGGGTACTATTTTAGTTTTTCACACCAGAGAAACTATTTGGGATTTACACGTGTGACTTATTTATTTCACTTAGGAGTATATCCTTAAAGTGTACCTATTTACCTATAAATGAATCTGCTTTCTCATTCTTTATGGCTGAGTAGTATTCCATTTTATAGAAAAACCACATTTTCTTTTTAAGAAAATAATATAATATTATGATAAAGGAAAACAAGACCATAAATGGGCATCATTTGCTTACTTAATAATATACCATCTCTATTCTACCTCTCAGATACAATCTTAGGGTGACAACATTTGGTGATACATATTTCTATAGATTTTTTTATATATAAATTTTTTTGGGGGGTACCAGGGATCAAAATCAGGTCTTTGATCTTGTGTGGCAAGTGGTGGAACCTCTGAGCTAAGTCCCCAGCCCTATATATAATATTTTTATTTTAGAAACCTAGAGCGATAGGTTCATAATGATTGTTGCCCTAGGTCTATAAGCAGTTTTTAATATTGATAGAACTTTTCATATCAATAAGGAAATTTCTATCATATATATTTTAACTTTGTGCATTATAAATTTTAAGGCTGCAAATTACTCAACTAATTTTTGCTCCTTAAATTTTTTTCACTTTTATAAGCAAATTACTATGAGAAACTAAGTCATGATTATTAGTAGTTTTGCTAATGGTACTGGGGATTGAATCTAGGGCCTTTGCACTGAGCTGTATCACCAGGCTTCTTTCCCTTTCTTAAAAAAATTTGAGACAGGTTCTGACTAACTCAATAATTTGCTTAGGCTTGACTCAAACTTGCAATCCTCCTGCCTCAGCCTCAACCTCTCAGAGTGCTATGATTACAAGTATGTGCCACCCTGCTTGGGTAGTGTCAAGTTTTTACGCATTGCTTTGATTGATATTGTAAAGTTTGAGCCCAGTGTTGAACTTTGAAAATTCTCTTTATTAATGAATAAAGTTTTGTCTCCTCTGTCAGGTTCACTGAAACACGACATAACATGAAACATTTGTCTCATGAAGCAGCAAAGTCACTGTCAGTTGGATGACCTCCTTTTACTTTGCATTTCTAAGATTCTCCTTGGGCCGTATTGATTGTGTTGCTGCAGACACTTAACAATCTCTCTTTCTTACTGACCCCAGAACACCGATGCTGCCTTGCTCCCTTGCATCAGTTATCCTGCATTTGCCCTGGATGATGAAGTGCTGTTCAGCCAGACACTTGACAAAGTGGTGAGAAAATTAAAAGGAAAATATGGATTTAAGCGTTTCTTGAGGGATGGATATCGAACATCACTGGAAGATTCCAACAGACGCTACTACAAACCAGCTGAAATTAAGGTATCAAAAATATTTCATGAAAAATATTTCATAAGTACATGAGAGTGGTCAGAAGCACAGATTAAGGAGGCTGACTTCTTAGGTTTTGGTTCTAGATCAACTACTTAATGGCTATGTAACCTTGGGCAAGCTAAGTACCCTCTATGTTTAATATTAATTGGTAAATAATGATAGTACCTATACCATGAGATTCTTACGTGGAATAAATGACAACACATATAGACTTGCTTAGAACTGTATAAAATAAGTGTGCAATAAGTGTTATTACATGAGGCCCACTTGCTCATCATGGGCCATGTTCAACAACTTTTCTAACACATTTTCAGTCCATTGCCTGTTTGTCTTATTTAATACCAAGTTTCTGTTTATAATGTAGCTTTACTCTTATTAAAACTGTTTTTTTTTCTTTATTTGTTCTTTGCTGTGTTCCTTCTTTGCTTTCTTCCTTCTTTTCTTTCTTTATATCGTTTAGGTACTTCTCATGGAAATACAATTCTCTAAATAATTTGCTTTAAATACTATATATTCCAGATACACACAACATTATATCTAGATCGTACTAGCTGCTTTTAAGTCGTCCAAAATATGATAAATTTCCAAAAAATGTTAGCATTCTTGCATATTGCTAAAGACTTGCCTTAATGGGAGGTTAAAAATTATTTTTGTAAACATCCTCTTAACTTTGACTCACTCACTGAAGATAGGTATGGTCTCTATGAGTCTTTGTATGCAGTATGTCTAAGCAACGTTAGACCTTGCAATTGGCAGTTAACATGCCACTCTAAAATTCAGGATACACTTAGTTTTGCAGGACAACTAGAGAAGCTTTTATCATTTTATTTAATTTTACAGTTGACTATCATTTGGGAGCATTGGAGCCATTTTATTGTGTACAGTTTTGAAATTTTACAACAGTGTTACATTATCTATGGGTTGGAATAAAGTATGAGTTTATCTCTTAAGTACCTTCAAAACTTTCTTCCCCATTTCTTGAGGTGATTTATCTCCTTTACATATATATAT